ACAAGTTTAGAGGAGATTATTTTTGGTTTTGAAGTTGATAAATTCAGTTTTCTAGGAATAGAATCTTGAGGGATAATGAATGTTGGTGTCTTTTCTAATGTGGACGACGGGGGTAGATATGAAGTATCTAACTCAGTTTCTGGATCAATGTCTTGTTCAGGACCTGCATCTACTGAACTTGTTGGTGTATTTTCAACAGTCCGGTTGTAATTTTGAGGCACTGTAATTGGTGTGTTATCATGTGTGTCTGATACTTTAAATGTGGTGACTTGGGGGTTAGACATGAGACAATCCTGTACATTTTTGTTGAGATTTTCCACTCGCTGTGAGTCCATTAGTGCAAGGATTTCTGGTAAATGCTCATTGTAGAATATCTCCTCGTGATCCGCTGACCAGTGCACTCAGGGTTGTGTGGTAGAGATTAACTGTATATCGCCAGCTTGCTAAGCGTTTATTGATAGATGCACGAATTACTGTTGTATAAGAAACATTATTAGCATCAGCTAGATCCTGAAATTCCAAATTTATGTCGTTTGTAGTACATGTTCGTGACTCTTCTAAATTCATGGTAATGTCCAGTGCTCATGAATAAGCGTAGTCCGCCGCCAGTTTCAACAATTCTTAAATTGTCCCTGAACGTAGCTTGGAGCTGTTTTTTGAGGCATAAATTGAATTTTATTTTACAATTCATATTTCTTAAGTTATAGGGTCTATCAATCTCATCATTTTTTGGCTCGTTTGTCGAAGAAATTTTGGTGTCAGACGACAGGGTTTTTGTTTCCTTACACCCAGTGGCTAGTGATTGCGCGGCCGAGTCCACCATCTTTGTGTACAGAGAAAAGAAAAACTGTCGCACTTAGGATCAATTTGGCTTATTTCCCATAAAATACAAACGTGTTCAACACAAAACACAATTTCCTGGTACCATGGGAACTTCAGAAAACATTTACAGTTACTTATTGACACATTCCACGTTATTTATAGGCAAAATTGTAATTTTTTTCACTCTAGCATATTTGGCGCGTCTTCGCCTTACCGGAACCGGAAGTCATGAATATAAAAAAATCATTTATTTATGAAGTTGAAAGAAGTCAGGACAGAAATATATTAATGAACTATCTTAGGAACTATCTCTGATCCGACGATGTCCACTGTGACAGCATCCAATCAGAGACAGTTAGTAAAAAGAACTAGGACAGCACTGAACTCTTCACTGTCACCTAGGTCAGGTGACCCTTATGACCTAGTTCAGCTCTGAACGTAGGTCTCATTTTACACTCGACCTCTACGTTCAGGGACTGTCCTATTGAATCCTTGTCGAAAATCTAATCGCTTCCCAGTCAATTTTACTGGGCAACTTTTTACTGCTAACCGGTCGCGTGTCAGTCCCTGTGAACGCCTGAACAATATATAAATGAACATCTTAGGGAGAAAATAAGACCTTGCTTACCTGGCTAGAGTCAGTATGAGCGACACAACACGCTGTTAAAAAATACGTCTCCGTCTTCTAACTGACTTGGCGGACATCATTGAAAGGGTAACGCACAAATTTAAGAACTCGGCCATATAAGATGAAACGAAATTTAGGTAAGCCTGGTGCGAAAAAAATGGGATTTTTGAAAGAATTTGATTGTAAATTATTGTAATTTAGCTAGGCAAAGCAATAAATCACTGAAGATTCTCAACTTTTCAAAGATTTCATTTTTTTTTCTCCCAGGCTTACCTAAATTTTGTTTCATCTTATATGGCCGAGTTCTTAAATTTGTGCTTTACCCTTTCAATGATGTCCGCCATGTCAGTTAGAAGATGGAGACGTATTTTTTAACAGCGTGTTGTGTCGCTCATACTGACTCTAGCCAGGTAAGCAAGGTCTTATTTTCTCCCTAAGATGTTCATTTATATTGTTCAGGCGTTCACAGGGACTGACACGCGACCGGTTAGCAGTAAAAAGTTGCCCAGTAAAATTGACTGGGAAGCGATTAGATTTTCGACAAGGATTCAATAGGACAGTCCCTGAACGTAGAGGTTGAGTTTAATAAGACCTACGTTCAGAGCTGAACTACTTATGACCCAGTATGATAATACTCAGCGCTAGAGTCTATGAGACTATAAATAGCCATCGCACGTGCAATTCTCTACACATCTATCAACTATTACAGCCGTAAAAAATCTATTGTTGACGATTCTGAAGCTCAGTAATATTTAGCTTTTTGGTTATTACAATTTACAGCAGCTTTTGAAATTACATTTGTTTTATTTTTTATACGCCCACATTTTCATGTGGACGTATTATGCCGTCGCGACTGTCCGTCGGGACGTCCGTCCGTCCACAATTTGTTTGTGGACACTCTACAGGTCACAATTCTTATCCGATTTTGACGAAACTTGAAATATAGGTTTATCTCTAACAGATCTCGGCTGCTTTCGATATTGGCATGTATGGGATCGAAACTTCATGGATTATGGCCCCTGTTTGTACGAAAAATCACGTTTTTAGCTTGTGGACCCTATAGAGGTCACAATTTTTTATCCGATTTTGTTGAAACTTGAAATGTAGGTTTATAACCTAAAGATCTCGGTTCCTTTCGATATTCACGCATATCGGACAGTAACTTCCTGAATTATGGCCCCTAATTGTATGAAAAATCGCGTTTTTAGCTTGTGGACCCTATAGAGGTCATAATTTTTATCCGATTTAAAAAATCGTATTATTATGTCACCGTTACACCCTAAGGACAGCTGAGTTCGAATTTCGTGAAAACGGGCCCAAAACTGACCGACAAAATGGTCGCCGTTCGTTCTCAAATAGCGTAAAAATATGGTATATCAAGGTTGTGGACCCTATAGAGGTCACAATTTTAATCCGATTTGGTTGAAACATGAAATGTAAGTTTATAACCTAAAGATCTTGCGTCCTATCGATATTCGCACATATCGGACCGTAACTTCCTGAATTATGGCCCCTGATTGTACGAAAAATCACGTTTTTAGCTTGTGGACCCTATAGAGGTCATAATTTTTATCCGATTTAAGAAAATTGTTTTAGTATATCACCCTAAGGACAGCTGTGTTCGAATTTCGTGAAACTTGAAATGTAAGTTTATAAGCCAAAGATCTCGGTTCCTTTCGATATTTGCGCATATTGAATTGTAATTTCCTGAATTATGGCCCTTGATTGTAGGAAAAATCGCAATTTTAACTTGTGGACCCTATAGAGGTCATAATTTTTATCCGATTTAGAACAAACGTTTTAGTATATTGCTGTTACACCCTAAGGACAGCTGCGTTCGAATTTCGTGAAAATCGTCCCAAAACTGACAGACAAAATGGCCGCCCCTCGTTCTCAAATAGCAAAAAAATATGGTATACATGTATCAAGGATAGAGATCACAGTTTTTATCCGATTTTCTTGAAACTTGAAATGTAAGTTTATAACCCAAAGATCTCGGTTCCTTTCGATGTTTGCGCATATCGAATTGTAATTTCCTCAATTGTGGCCCTTGATTGTAGGAAAAATCATTTTCTTTTTAGCTTGTTCTCTATCCATCTCTCGAAAATGTAGGCGTATCCTGCCTGGCAGCCGCTGGTTAAATTGCTTTATCATTAACTGTACCGTTGGGAGCGGCATCTTTTGGTTTAGTACAAATAATATCTCTGAAACACTTGCATTAGGCAAGAACATGATACTAACAGTAGTTTCATTTTACTTGTACAAGGTTCTTAAAACGTGCGTGTTTCTATATTCAATTTCTTGTTCCAGCTTTCTGTTATGTTTCATAAAAAAGTAGTCTTGATTATCCCGGCCTGTCAATCAAACGTAGAATGGTCAGAAGACTGGTTAAGCGAGACTAATTTCAAAACAAGGGCACGTAACCTATTTTTTACTCACAAGTGCCTGAATGTTATGGCCGATACTTGTAACCATCTTTCAGTGTATTATTTATGGATGGTTAAATGGTTATAGCTTATTAAGTACAACATGATCGTTTATTTAGTGACTATAAATGTGCGAAACTGATTTAAGGCTTGGTGTATATATAAATATTGTGGTGTAATTGTCGAGATATTTGGAGATAGTTACTTATGGTGGGTCACCCTAATAATGGCTATAAAATACAGGTAGGGGCCTACCAATCAGTCAACTGTCTGGGAGGCAATATCATATATGCACTTTTTTTCGGAGGGGGAGGCTATAAGTGGTCTAGAGTGTCACTTTTCGAGTTCCAACTGGTCACCTCTAGTTTGTAGTCGTCATTTTGATACCTGATGTGAGCGTGTGCGGCTTTACTCTGGGTAGGCCCTAGGCCTACTCTGGTTTCCTCCCACAGGAAAAAAACCTGCGCGCGTGCAAAGATAATATAAATAAGACATCTTGTCTGCGATATCAACCTCAATGGAAGGGGACGTTAAAAAGAAGAAATCTGCAAAAACACGTATATAGCCTAGGCCTACATTTAAAGTAATGGCGGTCATTTTAATACCCGAGGACTTGGGGTGCATGGTCTACAGCTTGTCATGTTTCAAGCTATTGCTGGCTGGTCACATCGGGATTGCCGTTGTGGTTTGATCCCTGTTGTGAGTGTATCCTAGGTTTGCCTTCTCTTACCGGTATCAATTTTTTTCAGTATTATGATTCTTGATCTTTATATCTTACATAATGAATCTTTAATATTGTCTTGTTAAAAATGATATTTATGAAATAGATAATGTTTTCTTATTATAAAAACATGTATGATACATTATTGACAATGACATTATGTAAAATTGTTAATATTTTCTTGTAGAGTATTATTATATGAAATTTATATTATGTAAAATTAATTGAATGTCTTTTCTTGTTGAAAGTGATAATTCCTATGCTCTTTTTATGTTGAATTTTTGTAGTCTCTTTTTATTTTTTTAATGTAAATATAGCTCTCTTGTTTTATCTTACTTTTTTAAAGCAATACAAAGCTGTAAAGGTGGTGTGGTATACAACAATTGTGTGTTTATTTTTGTAGGTGATAAGCACAGGCAGATCTATTGTGCAATGGAGAAGATCATTTTCAACTACTGGTATGGAAGAGGAAACCGGAAACAAATATGAAAAAAGTAAGAATTGGTTTGTTCTTTACCATTATTTTAGATCAATGGAAACCATGGTTGTATTATGTCATCTTCTTATGTGATTTACTTAATTATTTGCTGTATTCTTTAGGTTTAAACCGAGTTCAGATAATAGGTAGACTAGGTCGAGATGCTGAACTAAGAGGTTCTGATCAAAGATCTGTTGTTGTACTTTCTGTAGCAACCAATGATGTTTATACTAAACAGTCAGGTAAGTTAATCAAAACAGAGTTTATAGCATTTCTAACTATGGGGGAATTAGGCTGTTGTCAATACACATGTATAACTTACATGTAAATACCTGATACCTTGACTGCATATAGTAGCCTACATTTGGCTTAATATTCCTCATAATGATAATAATATGTACATTTATATAGCACCAGCTGTACTCAAATCGCAGAGTTAGATCCTGATAACATTACTCAAAAAGATGGGGGTAATATTTCAGTTGAAACCTGAAATTGTTTGAAATGATTTAATGCCTTCTGGAAGAATGTTCCACTGTTTTAGGTGCATTCACTGAGAACGGGCTGTATCCAAATGAATTAATAGAAGATAAAAAGAAAAGTTAGATCATATAAACTCGAATTTTTTACACAGATTTGTAAAGAACATTGTGATTTATGTGATCTTAACAAACTACAATCTAATAGCATCCATTTTACAAAAATACAGGCCAAGGTTTTAGATCTATTTCTCCCCATTCTGATATACCGGTAATACATTGGGGTTTTGATATTATTGGGAGTTTTGTCTTTACAGGTTATTTATGAAATGTCTTAGTTAAAGGTTCAATTTACAAGGTTCAGATTTAAAAAATTCAAATATTTTGCTTAATTTTTTACAGGTGAAAGAGTGAGCCATGTAGATTGGCACAGAATTAGTGTTTTTCAACCTAATTTACGTGATAAAATTGCTGTTAATTTAAAGAAAGGGTAAGATTTGAATGTACACGGTAGATGTCTAGCTAATAATGTTATAATAATAATGGGTGAGGACCACTGTCGGTTCAGATAATGATTTTGATATGCCCACATTGAAATGTTTATAATGTGTAAACATCTGGTATATCAAGGTTGTGGACCCTCTAGAGCTCACAATTTTGATCCGATTTTGATGAAATATAGGTCTATCTCCCAAAGATCTTGGTTCCTTTCGATATTGGCATGTATCGGACCATAACTTCATGGATTATGGCCCCTGATTGTACGAAAAATCATGTGTTTTGCTTGTGGACACTTAGAGGTCACAATTTTCATCTGATTTTGATAAAACTTAAAGTGCATGTTTATAACCAAGAGATATTGGTTCCTTTCGATATTCGCACATATCAGATCATAACTTCCTGAATTATGGGCCCTAATTGTACGGAAAATAACGTTTTTAGCTTGTGGTCCCTCTAGAGGTCACAATTTTTATCCGATATAAAACCAGCGGCTGCCAGGCAGTATATGCCCACATTTTCGAGAGATGGATAGAAAACCAGCTAAACGAAAGTGATTTTTCCTACAATCAAGGGCCATAATTCAGGAAATTACAATTCGATATGCGCAAATATCGACAGGAACCAAGATCTTTGGGTTATAAACTTACATTTCAAGTTTCAACAAAATCGGATAAAAATTGTGACCTCTATAGGGTCCACAACCTTGATATACCATATTTTTACGCTATTTGAGAACGAACGGCGGCCATTTTGTCTGTCAGTTTTGGGCCGATTTTCACGAAATTCGAACTCAACCGTCATTAGGGTTAAATGGTGATATAATAAAACTTTTTTTTAAATCGGATAAAAATTATGACCTCTATATGGTCCACAAGCTAAAAACGCGATTTGTCAAACCATAAAGGGGCCATAATTCATGAAGTTACAGTCTGATGTGCGCGAATATCGAAAGGAACCGAGATCTTTGTGTTATAAACTAAAATTTCAAGTATCAACAAAATCGGATAAAAATTGTGACCTCTATAGAGCCACAACCTTGATATACCATATTTTTACGCTATTTGAGAACGAAGGGCGGCCATTTTGTCTGTCAGTTTTGGGCCAAAATTCGAACTCAGCCGTCCTTAGGGTGTAACGGTGATATATTAACACGTTTTTTTAAATCGAATAAAAATTTAGACCTCTATCAGGTCCACAAGCCAAAAAATGCATTTTTGCATACAATCATGGGCCATAATTCATGAAGTTACGGACCGATATGTGTGAATATCGAAAGGAACCGAGAACTTTGTGTTATAAACTTACATTTCAAGTTTCAACAAAATCGGATAAAAATTGTGACCTCTATAGGGTCCACAACCTTGATATACCATATTTTTACGCTATTTGAGAACGAATGGCGGCCATTTTGTCTGTCAGTTTTGGGCCGATTTTCATGAAATTCGAACTCGACCGTCCTTAGGGTTTATCGGTGATATAATAATACGGTTTTTTAAATCGGATAAAAATTATGACATCTATAGGGTCCACAAGCCCAAAAACGCGTTTTTATGTACAATCAGGGGCCATAATTCAGGAAGTTACTGTCCGATATGCGCGAATATCGAAAGGAACCGAGATCTTTGGGTTATAAACTTACATTTCAAGTTTCAACAAAATCGGATAAAAATTGTGACCTCTACAGTGTTCACAAGCCAAAAACGTGATTTTTCGCTTGTGACCTCTACAGTGTTCACAAGCCAAAAATGTGATTTTTCGTGCAATCAGGGGCCATAATCCATGAAGTTACGGTCCGATAGATGCCAATATCGAAAGGAACCGAGATCTTAGGGTGATAAACCTATATTTCAAGTTTCATTGAAATCGGATAAAAATTGTGAATATATCACCGTTGAACCCTGATGATGGTTGAGTTCGGACAAAATGGTTGCCCCTCGTTGGCAAATGTAAAAATATGGTATATTGATTTTGATACAAATTTATGTTTATATCACAAAGATCTTTTTAGCTTGTGGACCCGCTATAGAAGTCACAATATGTATTCAATTATAAAAAACGTTTAAATATATCACCATTACACATGAACGAAGGTTGAATTCAAATTTTGTAAAAATCTGACCGAAACTGCTTGACAAAATGGCTGCTCCTTGAATGCAAATAGTGTAAAAGTATGTAGTGTGGACACTATATAGAAATCACAATTTTTATCCGATTTTGATGAAACTTGAAATGTATGTTTATTATCCAAAGAGCGTGGTTCCTTTTGATATTTGCGCATATGGAACTGTAACTTCCTGGATTATGGCTCCTGATTGTATGATAAATCATGTTTTTAGCTTGTGGACCCTCTAAAGGTCACAAATGACTCACAAGTTTAAAAAACATTTAAATTTATCACCGTTACACCCTAATGATGGTTGAGTTCCAATTACCTGACAAAATGGCGACTCCTTGTATGCAAATAGTGTAAAAATATGTCATACCCTTTAGTTATTTGCGCATATCAGACCGTAACTTCCTGGATTACTGCCCCTGATTGTACGAAAAATCATGCTTTTTAGTTTATGGATTCTCTAGAGGTCACAATTTTTTATCCGATTTTAAAAAACGTTTAAATATATCACTATTCCACCATAATGAAGGTGGAAATCGAAACCCTCTTAGTGTGCAAAGTGTGTAAAAGTATGTGATACAAAGGTTGTGGACCCTCTAGAGGTCACAATTCTTATCCGATTTTGATGAAACTTAAAATATATCCTTATATCCCAAAGATTTCAGTCCCTTTCGATATTTGCACATTTCAGACCATAACTTTCTGGATTATGGCCCGGATTATATGGAAGATCTATTTTGTTTTTAGCTTGTTCTATCCATTTCTTGCAAAATGTGGGCATATTTTGACTTGCAACTGCTGGTTGGAAATAGTTGATAATTTGGAAGGCTGCTTTGTTCAAATTGGTCAACCAAAGAACTCTGAATGCATGAGCCGCTTATATCAATGATCTAGCGTTCTCCGTAATTGCGCGGATCGATGCATGCAGCAGCGACACCAAACGATGTTTTAATGATGGTTGCTAGGTCAAATTATCAAAATTCTAAACTTGTTCGATGTTTATTCCACTATTCTTAATCAGTTGTTTTTTGTCAGCTTCAGCTGATTGGTAAAACATGTAAAGCGTCATTGCAAAGAAATGTTTTCTTTACATTAATAGAAATAACAATATGAAATAGAATAAAAATTTCTAGATTAGAAGCCCTATCTATGAGAAAGAAATAAAAAAGATAAAATTATACATTGTCTTAGATTAGAAATTACATGAATAGAAGTTAGGAGTTAGACATAGCATGATAGAATTTTGAATTTAATATACCGCCATAATTTACAGACTCCTTTGATATTAGATTTAAAACAAAGGACTCAGTTTTTGAACGTAATTTTGCAGCAAATCTCCAAAAACAATCTACTTCGAGATTGTCGCAGAAGATTGCTGTAAAATATAAACAACAATCGTTTATGTATTTTGATTTTATAATATTGATCATAGATCAAATATAAAGATGCAATAAGTAATTATTCTGTTGTATATAATTCCAGTGATCGTGTATTTTTAGCTGGTAAGATAAGATATGATGAGTACAGAGATAATGATAATGTATTACGAAGATCTGCAAGTATTCTAGCAGGTGACTTTCTTATATCAAATTTATAATGGATAGGAATTATCAACTAGTAACCACATCAACATGTGTACTTTAGGTCATAAGGTTTGCCAATGAGCCAAGTTGTGTGGTTTCGATTCTACACTTGTATGGGATATGAAGTAAGAACTGACCTAGTTTGAGTTTAATCCCATTTCTCCCCGGGGCCCCAACCCCAACTCCAACCGACTGCATCATTCATACATTTCTACGCATTGTTTTCTTGGCCTATTCTCCATTACTGTAATTATATTTTAAGTTGTGAAGTGAATGCAACAAATTTATGGATTAGTTTGAAAAATAGGTTGCGTGGACAATTTACTTAAATTGAAAATTGTAATGTATTTTGTTATTTCAGATGATATAATAAACATCACAAAGAGATATGAAGAGGGAATGAGTGAAGAAGTAGACTGAATAAGAATCATCTTCATTTTTATCATTTATTGGGTATCATCTGCATCTGTTCTTATTGTAATGCTTAGCTTATGATTAGGAGCACCAGAATGTTTTAGATTTATACCTCCATCCTATCAATATTTAAAGTTAAACATACATTATGCAAGATCTGCCTAGTACAGGTCTTTCTTTAGGCCTCAAATGTTATCTAAATTATTAATTAGACATTAGTTAACTTACCCAAACCATAATCAACTCTCAATACCATCGTTAGCCTGCGATATTTAGTGGATCTGAATACATTCTGTGACGGATGATTTATCGTAAAAATGGATAATCAAGACTCTGTTTATCATTGTACCAGCGGTAGTAATGATGATCGAGGCTAGCCTAATCTTGAATCACTAATATCTTGGTTAAGAGTGAAGCAATTTGACAGAAGTTATCAGAATATTCTGTTTTCATTATCTATTTTTTTAATTATTATAGCAAGAACTGTCAGCTCTTTATCTAATCTTACGTAATGCCCAGTGACATCTATATGACTAATATTACCATGTAGAAGCAGGAGTGTGTGATATAGATAATGCCATGAGAGTGTTTGTGTGGGTAGTTCTCCATAGATGTGTTAACCAGTAAAGATATGCCATCAAGGTCGATGCCTTGATGGAGTTTGAAGATGGGCATTTTCTGCTTAGGGTAAGCAGAGATAAGCAATTTGTTTGGTTGATGCTTTGGGACACAAGTTCTGATAAGTCAGAGTGATGAAACTTGGTGTAAAGTTGACTAAGTTCGATAATGAACATTTTCTGCTAAGGGTAAGCAGAGCGATAAGCAATTTGATTGGTTGAGACTTTGAAACACAATAGCTCTCCTTGTGATTGCGGTAGAATGTTCATACTTGGTGTAGGCGTTCATAAGATGAATGCCTTTGATTAGTCAAGACTTTGGAACATAACAACTCTGCTTTTTTAAAAAGTATTAAAATAAAGCCTTAAAATAGATGGTATCTATAAACAGTCCTACCTTGTTAAAGAATAATCCTATAATTCACTATTGCCAGTTGACTAATTGGCAAAAATATCATTTTCAACTTAAATTCAAACGTTTAAAGATAGCTATTCCGTGGTGGGGAATAGGAAAACAAGGGAGGTAATTGTGTTATTATTTCCGGTGTGAAGATTTTTAAGTGTGAGGTTGAGAAGGATAACCTATGATCGTATAATAGTGAGTTGACAACCTATTGAGCAAAAGACATAGAAATAATTATGTTTTTACTTTCTTAGAAAATATGAAATTGTAACTTTAAATGAGGTAGAATGTTTAAACTTGATGTTGATGTTCATTAGGTGAATGTCTTGACTGAGTGCAATGATTAACATTTCCCGCTGAATCTAAGCAGAGCTAAGCAATTTCTTTGATTCTTTGATTCTGTCTGATAGAGAGTGTGTGATGAAAGTTTGATTGCTGGATACTTTTGAAAAAGATAAACATGCAATTAATTAATATGTGTCATCTATTATTTCGGGATTTCGGTGGGGGACATCAGCCTTACTGTTGGCTTGTTGCAAATGATTTATATTTAGTTGTAATTATCAAAAGATAACAGAAGTCATTGTAAATTTATCTTTTCTATTATTAATTATCTATTATTAAAATATTTTCAACAATAGATAGTCAAAAATGCAAATAGATTTGTCTTTAATGGACAAATTAATATGCCAGATATGACGTTCAGGGGGAATCTGAATCAAATCAATTGTTTCAATCGAAGGATTTTGTTACCATTAGCACTTGCTGATGCCCAGTGATGGTTTCTTTGTTTACAATGATTGATACTTTCTCTCATAACCCCAAAGCAAGATTATTAATTAAAGAGACCCATGAATTGCAGTTTTTGTTCAACATTGTCTTAACTATTTTATTACCAGATAATAAAGGAATATAAAAATTCTGAAACAGTTGGAGTTCTCTTTTAACTTTCAAAATATATACACTTAAAGGGCCAAGAAGAACTGATTTTTTATATATACAACATGGATTGATTATATTATTTTATTTTATATAAATTACTGTATACTACAATAAATATTTTCATAAGTTATTTGTTATAGAATTTTGTGTTGAATATGACCAACATATTTTGCTTAAATTAAAAAAAAACAACAAACAATTGGAGGCAGACATCACCATTAATTTCCCCTTTAATGCTATTGTTATGTTAATTCTGGTCACTTTTGGCCAGCTCTAATTTTTCCTAAATTTTTGTTGGGCTGAAAGCTTTTCAATACAGACTAGCAACAACTACCAATAGAATTTTGAGATGCGGTACACAAATGTGAAGTTTATAATCTAACTATCCACCCTAAGTTCTACATACGCCATAATCAAATTTTTTACTCTGCTATCCTTTCACCTCTGTTAGCACGTGTGTGTTGCATAGTAAGGCCTGTCATTGAGTCAACTGGTGTGGTTACTGGTTTCGATTCCCCAGTTATATGTGATGAGGAGTAGGATCGCCTATCCAACCTTGTGGGTTTTCTCCAGGTCCTCCGATTAAAGTCCTACGCGCAAGCGAATTAATGAAATAAAAAAAGAACCATATGTTAGTCCCGAAATGACCTAGTTTGTTTCGAATGGATGTTAAACCCAATTTTGCTCTCTCCCTTCTGCCTCTAAACCATGAATATTTACCAAAACCTACCAAAAAGTGTCAATTCGAATCCTCATTTTCGATTCTAGACAAAAAAATTAACAAGGAAGAAATGGGATTGTGAGAAGACTAATAATTGAAAGAATTGCATACGTGCACATTGTAATCATAGGCGTACGAGCTAGGCTGGGGGGGCGGCCGCCCCCCCCCCCCCCATTTTGGGCACCAAATGCTGGGAAAATTTGGGCACACAATTGTACTTTGTAAAAGTTGTATAAAAAAATATTGTGTTCTTGAATGTGTCCAATTTAACAGCGAATTTATTATTATTATGTAACATACTAAGAACCTAACTACATTTTTTGGGCACCAACCACCAGCGCCCTCCAGTCAAAAATTTCCCCGTACGCCTATGATTGTAATTGTGTTTAATTGGGGGTCTAGATCCAGTTTGCCCCAAATAGATTTATCTCCCTTTTATCACTACACACACAAATGGAAAAATAAAATGGGGGGGGGGGGGGGGTAACGTCCTACGTAATGTTCTGCTCCGTTTGGGCTAAAGAAGACAGGCATATGCCACGCAGTGTGCTATGAGGGTAATTTTGCCTGGACAGCGACATACGACATACTCATCATAATTCCATCTGCAAAGGGATCTTTTACGTGCACGCCAATGTTTACACGGGACCTCGGTCTTCCGTCCATCCGAACGACTAGACAGCTGTCCTTGCCAGGCCCTCCGTCCTGCATCACTGACAAGAGAAACCACGTCGCTTGTCAGGCCCACCGTCCGGCATCACTGACAAGGGGAAACCACGCCGGAAAATCCCCAGGAATGGAATCCGACAAGTAGCCTATTTTTAAGTTTCATTTTTATACCTCCATCGTGGACGTATATTGCCGTCACCCCTGTGTGGGTGTGGGTGTGGGTGGGGGGATTGTGTGTATGTGTGTGTGTCGCCTACAGGCCGCATTTCTTAAGATATCATCTTGAAACTTTACTTACGTATTCCTTATACCCTATAGATAAACCTCTAATGATTTTGGTGCATGCCCGATCCCCAGGTGCAGAGCCAGGCCCATTTCTTGTATTTGTTTATTTGTCGTCTACAGGCCTCATTTCTTAACGTATCATCTTGAAACTTTGCATATTCCTTATACTCTAAGAAACAGCCCTATTGTTTATAATAATAATAATATATCTAAATTTTTCAATACTGGTCGAGTCGATGTATGCTCCAATGTTCTTAACTACAGGGGGGTTAGCGTGCGCGCGCTGTATCATAAAGCCTGTCATTGAGTCGACTGGCGTGGTTTCGAATCCCCGGTTGTACGTGACAAGGAGTAGGGTCGCCTGTCCAACCTCGTGGGTTTTCTGCGGGTCCCCCGGTTTCCTCCCACTGCTAAAGACCCCTACGCGCAAGCGAATTATGTAAATAAAATTAAACCATATGTTAGTCCCGAAATGACCTAGTTTGTGTCGAGTGGACGTTAAACCCCATTTCTCTCTCTCTCTCTCTTAACTACAGCCAGGGGCTGAGCCACGCCCATTTTCTTTTTGTGTGTCTTTCTTAATTGATTGTCTTGAAAACTTTATTTCTGCATGCCCGACCCCCTGTAACAGAGCCACGCGCAATTTTTAAGTGTGTCTGTGTTTCGCCTATAGGCCTCAATTCTTGACAGATCCTTTTGAAACTTTGCATACCTATTCCTTATACCCCAAGGATGATCCCGATTGTTTTTTGGAGGGGGCAACGGTTTAGTAGTGAATATAGGTGTATAACCCAGGGAAATAACCCAGACAGAGGCCTCCGAAGTAGGGTAGGCACTTTAGAGTTAGAGTGAACAGCGTGTTGCGTCGCTCATACTGGTTCTAGCAAGGTAAGCAAGGTCTTATTTTCTCACTAAGATGTTCGGTTACATTGTTCAGGCGTTCACAGGGTACCTGTCAAATTTCATTCGATTCTGTTCGCTAATGAGGGAGGACCATAAGAACGAGAAAATGATCAAGATTTAGACACCGGTCTCGGCACCTGTGTAAAAAGTTTACTTTAAGTCTGGCCAAGGAAGTTACTGGTAAATGTCAATAGGGTTCAGGTAACGGTTAGCGTAGTGGCATTCATAGGCATGCGGGCCCCATGAATGTTGGAGGGGCAGGGGCAGAAACTGAAATGCCCGAACAAATTTCGGGTTGTTGATGGAAAATTTGATGGCCGCAAACGCGTTTTCCTGCTATTCCAGCCAGTGAATACAGCAAGTTCAAAGTTGTCTAATATAGGCTAACTTAGGTGGGTGACTCGAATTCCCATCAACCAATGAATCGTTTACAGTCCACGTCGGGAGAAAATTTTGAAAATTTAACTGCCGCAAACGCGTTTTCCTCTATTCCAGCCCGTGAATACAGCAACTTCAGTGTGGTCAAATATAGCCTACCTTAGGTGGCTAACCTGAATCCCAATCAATCAATCAATCGTCGTGGGGTATGGAGGCTGGAATAGCAGTAACTTCAAAGTTTCCAATCGTTTTGCAACCGAAATCCCACTGTATGCCGATTTCAATTCCAACCGTCCAATCAGACTGTTGGAGCTGCATTCACAAATAATAATAATCGATGCCCGAAAAATGTCGCACAAAGTAGAGTGGCTCCAGACAAAATGTTTTAATCCATAGTCAATTCAGTAAAAATTTGTGGTATTCAATTAAAAATAAAAGTAAAATTAGTGTTTTATTAGATTTCGGGCACTTTATTTTGCCAACTAGATGAAATAATAACTTTTTTTCTTCAATTTACCCGTCTGCCCGAAAAGTCACATTGCCCGAAAGTTTCAGCTAAATTGGAGAAAAATCGTCGCCCCTAGAGGTTCCACAATTTTTGTTCAGTACATATTGACGCAGGGGCTATAATCCAGGAAGGTACTGACCAATAGATGCGCACCGAACTCCTCTAAGATAATTTTGACCCTTAATATTTTAAGTCACACAGTGTATACACCACATACATCCCTGAGATACCAATAACTCGAAAGCAACGTAATTTCTAGTTTATCCCTTGACTTTCATATAGCTCCATCTTAAAGCTAGGGTCGGCACAGGATCCTTCGGGCCCTGAGACAATCAAATCTCTCCCTCCGGATTCGAATTTTTTTTTGAAAGACACATGGCGTCTATCCCATGGGGTACATTGCTAAAACACTAAAACAATGTAACAGCATATACATGTATATGACATACCAAATACGTGTGCTACATTTTAGTTTTACTAAAGTAATAATAATCAGGTGTAAATGATTTTGACGGAAATGCAATTCGGTAATAAATTGTGACATCCTAGCCGTACCATGCGATAGAGCACGGTCGGGGTAGTTCAAGGATGGCTGAAAAGGCTGATGCTGGTACGTGTGTAGATTTGTCTGAAAAATATAAAATTACCGATTGCCAATGCGTTATTTACACCATGGACAGTATTTCAGGGTCCATGGTAACACCAGGAAGTTAGAGAATGAGGGTTAGGTTATGGTTTATTAACAATTTTAATTTTTATACGAGTTTTCTTGATGAATTTGACAGATTAAGATCTTCTTATTCGAATATATATAGGCCCACGACAAAGACTTTGTGAAATGATCCATGTTACCAGTTAACCCGGATGGAGTAGGGGAGCGGCCATTTGAATTTTAAATTTGTACTTAGTCGTAATGGTGTAACTGTGATATATTTGAACGGATTTTACAATCAATAAAAATTGGACCTCTAGGGTGCCCACAAGCTAAAAATGTGAGATTTCGTACACCAAGGAGCCATAATCCAAGAAGTTACGGTTATAAATATACATTGTAAGTTTCATCAAAATCGAATAAAAACTGTGACATCTAGGTCTCCACAACCTTGGTAATATTATGTATATATTTGTGGGGGTAGCGAGGAAATGGTCGGATGCAACGTAGATCGTTCTGTTATTCGGGATTCGGCAATAAAACATGTGATTGCTGGAGATGACTGCCCCGTGCACTCTAACAAACCAGTCAGCACCCTATTCGCTTGACAAACAGTCGTCTCCGTGCTAGTCGGTCACCAAATGAGGAAATGGTCGGATGCAAGATAGATCGTTCTGTTTTAGTAGCGAATCCCGAATCCCGAATAACGTGCTGGCTCCTTATTCGTTATTGACAAGCCAGAAATCGCTTAGAAAGCGTCTCCGGCGATCTAGAACCCCGGGAGCTTCCGGGGCCTAGGTGGCCCCTGGACCCACCAGAATCAAGAATTGCTTCCACCGGCCGTGGACAAGTATCCCAGTTGTCGCCCCCCCCCACTCTCATGGGCCCTGGTTGAAACACTGGTTTGCTTCAAAAACTTACTTGGGTTCCAGTATAGCTTAGAAAGGGTATGTATGTATCGTTCACACGCACAGCAAACAACACTGATCTTATAATAACAACGTTGACGCATGCGTTTTCAATGGAACAATATTACATTCCTACAATCTTGGATCCGCTATAATGAAATGGTATGTTATTAAAGAACAAAAAAAAACCCATTAAACACCGAAAGATTTGAACTACCAATATGCGTTTAATATTGTAATCCAAAAATTAATTTGATAGCCTAATTCTCCACCGCACTCCGCCAAGCCCTACCTTGCCTCCGTAATATGGAACTATGGTGGCCGATTGGTCATATCTTCATAAGGCGACAACCCGATAACCCGATATCTTAATCCGACATCCTAACATTTTCACCACTGTCAAACAGGAATCACGCCGGAAATGGGGTTTAACGTCTTACTTTTCTGGGAGCCAAGACGACCTAGTCAGTAAGACGTTGGCTCGCTAACGGTGAGGTCCCGTGCTCGATCCCTGTGTTGGCCGTGAAAGTTCATTGGGGATTTTCCAAAGTGATTCCTCTTTGACGGTGGTACAAGACGGAGGGCATGGCATGAGATAAACGAGGTTCCATGGCGTGCACGCAAAAAACCCACTGACGGTCGACACCCTCCACCACACACACACGCGCGCGCGCAACCCGGACTCAACCCGGTCTAGTATAAGTAGCTAATCGTTGTAATGCTTTCATACTAAATTTCTTGGCAAGATCAGTAACTACATATTATGTACATTTTCCACAAGGCTCATCCTTATGAAGATATGATTAAAACAATCAAGTTTCAAAACGAAAAGGAGTCTGCGAGTATGTTAGGGTCGTGGGTCCCAAAAGAAGTCACGTAATATGGGGTGTGTGGGCGGCTTTGTTTTTTTATTAGTTTGCGAACCCTTGTTTTGATAAATTAGTAAGATTGTCACAGTCTTGTCACGTTAAATTTGTACATATGCTAAAACATCAAAATATACTCTAGAAAGTACCATAAACCGAAAGTTTATTAACATTTCTGAAACCGGAGCAAGAGCCCCCTCCCCCTTTCCCGCCCTCTTGATAGGGGCATGGGACTGGCAATCGTCTGCACAATTAGACCTGACTAGTGTGATTCCTATGACACAATTAAACCATTAAAATTTTAAAGACATATGTTTTATACAAGTAAATGTGAATGGTCAACGTCCTCCAGTTACGCATGTGTCGCCCCCCCCCCCCCACACACACACAACCGTCCTATTCCCATTGCCCAAGTAAAAAGGACGCTAATTTTCCTGTGAACATTGGTCTATAATACCCGTTGATTGTATCCTCAATTTTTTTACGATTTCGATTGCTGCTCAAATATATATATAAATAAGTGAAGTGACAACATTAAAATTATTAAATATATTTCATTATATTACCGTTTTCTTCCTTTACTGTTATTTTGGAAGAAAAAAATAAGCTGAAATTATGACTACATGTATGGACGCGTCAAAAGCGTCTTTGCCCTTTAGGCGATGAGACACTGACAGCCATTTAGTACAACGGCGTGGATGTAGTCCTTGATAACAAGTACAGAATAGTAGGAAGAGTACCAGCAATTAAATCCAGTACAGTGTCAGGAAGGCCTTGTGCCAAAAATTATATACGACAAAAGTAACCGTGTTGAACTATTGTCATGACAACGCCCAAAGTATTATCTTTACATGTAAATGGGTTGTTAACTATAAACAGGATTGGTCTCCAGGAATGCACTAGAATTAGTAAATGCTTCAGAGATAGTAAGCATATCCTGTTTCATGCACGGTACTATAACTGGCTATGTAAAACGGATAGTAACGGGCTAACATTGTATACGATTCGTGTAGATACTTAGCATTGATTAATAGCAAAAAATGTTTTTTTTCATATTACATACAACACAGTTAACAATACTTAGCAATTCAGTGTTAAAAAAAAGAAAACATTGGTACAGTTCACACCGGTAAATATTACATGTTTAAAAACCCCAAAAATCGATCTTATATAAATAAATCGTTTAAAACACAAATAAGATACACGCAATAGATAAATACATGTAAAGAATATAATGTTTTTAAAACAATAAACAATCTACCAGAATGTTGTTATCTTTTAGAGATCCTATGAAACCGTAAATGTAGATGTAGCTTCGGACTGTATGCACGATGGACATGCACATATTGTCCATATGGCAGATGATAAAGAGGGACACATCTTGGCTTTGTTTATGTTTTATTGACAATAAATCTAGCCTGTCACCATCTTAGAGATCTCCCCTAGAGCATACGACAAACTTAAAGAGATTGCTACTGGCTAGAACTAGAAGACTTATCGCGTCCACCCAGTTCCAGTTCCCAGTGTCGCAAAACTAAAATCGTATAAATGACATCTTATTTAACTAAGTTGTCTAGAAGACAACCAAGTAATTTCGAATTTCTAGTGATTCTTGGAGTTTTGTATTGACATAAAGTTGCATCAGAGTTGGTGTCTATTATCAGTTGTCGAAGTTTATCGAATGTCCCAACATGAACTTGATAAATTCGGGCACTCTGTATGCTTTTACTCAATCTATTGGATCGATAGATATCAACAAGTTCCATTAAGATTTCATCAATCTGAAAAACAATTATATAAATCTGAAAACAAAGTTGTCCGTTTTTGCTTTTCCTCATTCTTACAAATTCAGGTTCATCTGTAAATTGTTTGGTCCATGGACAGAACCCTGTGGCACATCAATGTATTCTTTGTTCTGGGAATCACGGTGTCGGATGGGACGATTTTCCCAATACTACCCAATTCCACCTCAACATCACATACTACCCAATACTACTACATAATGATGCAAAATAGACATACCATTTGATTGTTTTCAAAAATAGAGAGTTATATGTACTTCAAATGCGGTACCGATGTCTGGCTGTTTTATTTGCCTCCCTATATCACCCAAAACATGTATATTATAATAACCCAATACTACCAAATACTCATCAAATACTACCAAATACATTGTACTACTCAATATGATCAAATAACAACCTAATATTGTCAAATAACAGCACATTAGTATAATTACTGAATCTATTTATCGGTTGTAAAGGGAGATAACTGCGCAAACATTTCAATTTTTGGCAAATTATCGAATATTCGTTGCAATTATTATACCGAGGTGCTGCTAATTGACGATATTAGGTTTGTATCTTATAATATGGGACAGTATTTGATAAGTATTTGGTAGTATTGGGTTATTATTTGCTTGATTTGGGTGGTATAGGGAGGCAAATGGAACAGCCAGGCACCGGTAATGACATTTGAAGTACGATATATCAAGTGATATGCTCATTGTGCACCATTATGTTGTAGTATTGGGTAGTATGTGGTGATCTTTGGTCGGTATTGGGGTGGTATTAGGTGGTATTGGTAGTATTGGGTAAATCGTCTCGCCACACGGTGTCCCACGTTACACCAGGCTCGATTGCGGTGTTCCTGGGTATTTTCCAGTCCGGTTTGCCACTTGTCAGTGGTGCAGGGCGGAAAATCCAGCGAGGAAAGAGTCTTGCCGGGTGCCACTCGTGTACTCGTTGTTATCTCCTAATAGAACCACTGACAACTGAAAATCGAATCAAGAGTAGGCCAGGATAAAATTCCCCTCATAGTACACTAGCGCAATTCGTCATTAGCCCAATTGGTGCAGAATAACAGGTCATACCTATCAACTGAAGTCTATTAACTATAAATCGGGTGATTGAGATATCTAATCCGCAAACGAAATAAGGAGGATTCGATGCGATGCATACCTTGTATTTAAACTCCTCTGGAAGTATGGCGTCGTTCCATAATTCCACAAATATAACATAATATAATTGACCGCTTACATTGTCTACAAAATAAAACCAACACACAAATATCACAAAACCATTCAGCATTGAGCAGGTTTGATAACTTTTGAAAAATGTGTGAGAAGAAAGTGAAGAGGAACAGTCATAGAACAGAGTTTAATGTCTCGTTGACACGTTACTTTGGTCATTTAGGTATAAGTAACGGTAATCTATTTCTATGGTTATGGGACTTCTGATTTCTGTCCCACTCAAACAGATTGCCATTTAAAACTTGAAAATTAAAAAAAGATAGTCTAAGCCCATATCTGGTTTTTAACATCTGGTTTGGCTGGGTACACGCCAGTTGACTCAACTACAGACTTTATGGCACGCCCAAAAAGCGGATGGACGTACAACTTACAAAGAGAACACTAACCGAGAGCACCAATAGATGGAAGTAGAATAACAAAAGCTGAAATATTTACCTTGAACCTGCTCTATATTAATATTTTCCGTGGATGTGTAATCAATGATTCTACCTATGTTAAATGTTGTTACTGTGTGGTGTAAGGCCCTTGAGATCATCTCTTCGTGTACTTTCTCTGATCTCATGTTTAATACATCACCAGTTCTAGAGGAGAAAATGATACAGATACATTGAACTTTAAAGGTTTTGTTCATTTCGCTCATAATATATAAACCCGTACACACGTTTTATATCAAGTACAACGAAAATGGTAAATGGTATAAGCTTTGTTCCAGAAGTAGTACACATATCCTGCCAGATCGCAACTCCTACATCAAGTAAGTAAACAGAGCGGCAATGACCAAACATACATAAGTTACAAAAAGCATGGTGTCACATAACCAGTGAGTTTAATACAAAATCTGTTGTGTATGAGAAGTGGTATTTGACGTATTCCAAAGAGTATGCATACCCTTCGTCATGCAGGACACTATTTAGTTCATACAGGACTCGCGTCGTCACTATAAATTATACTCAAAGCCATTAAAAACGCAATGCCTGATTCGTGAAATATTTCTTGGGCTTTCCTATTTTATGGCACATAGGTGAAACTTGTGATGGGTCTCTTTTTGTGGGGTTCTGGGTTTGAACCCAATATCAGTTCTCGATATTATTTGTTCCTGCAAACGCAACACTTGTCTTTTTTCACGATTTTAAGCAGTCCCATGTCACACGTTTTGCACGTGCATTCCCATCAAATACAGATCAAAATTTCAACATTCATCACTTCGGAAAAAAGAAACGCCCTACACAAGAAAACAGGAACAGAGCTAGTGGTCGCCAGACACTTTAATGTCCACCCATCGACCATTGCTCACCTCAGACAACGCTTCCACGTCACTGGAAGAGTTGCCGATCGACCCCGACCTGGAGCGCCACCTGTAACAACCGCTGCTCAAGATCGCCACATCCAACTACAGCATCTGCGGAACAGGTTCCAGTCAGCCACAGCCACTGCCAGGGGAACTGCTGGAACACGGCAACGTCAGATCAGCCCCAAACAGTCCGAAGGTGCCTGGCTGCTCTTAGGTTACGCTGCCGTCGACCTTACCAACCCGATCGAACACATTTGGGATGAACTTGGACGACGGGTTCGAACTCAAGCCGTGCTACCACGAACTGTTGCAGAGTTGGCACAGGCACTCCAAAATCATTGGCAAACAAGCCCACAGTGTGTAGTGAGACATCTGTGCCAGTCCATGCCAAGGCGACTTTAGGCATGTGTAAGAGCTCAGGGTGGACATACCCGATATTGACCCCTGCTTTGTTTCATGGTTCTCTGACGTTTCGGTTTTGTGCATTTGTAGTGAATTCGTTCATGAAATTATCCACAGATGCTTGTTATCTCGATTTTGTCAATTGTTATGTACATTTGTTAAAAGTTGTTGTAGTAAATAAACTTTGAATTTGGCATTGCGTTTTTAGTGGCTTTGAGTGATTTCGGACCTCGATGAAATAAAAGATTAATGTTTTTACCTGTGAAGAAGACGGTATCTTGCTGTGGTACCGTGATAACCAGTTACTTTAATAATATCCTGTGTTCTATAACGATATAATCCTTCACAAGTCGTTACAACTATCTCATATCGTTCACCAACCACAAGCTACACATAATATATTAATATTAACAGTGGTTAACAGGACCCAAAATGTCGGCATAACCCCCCCCCCAACCCCACCAAAACAACAGATTTATTAGATTGTGATTTTAAGAAGTTCTAATAACACTGGCATGGCTATTGCTTCTGTCTAAAAACAACAAGCATTTCTCCCGGTGTCTGTGGGGTAGCATATTCCTTACCGTCTATCGTTTGATCGGCTGACGTTTCGTAGAAAGAACAAATTTGGTCATGCTCTTAAACATGTTTCCGTCCACTGGCTTATTATTAACATCAATATAAATGCACATGCCTCGGGGTCGTTAAATTTCAAATATACCCTCTTGGGTTACTTCCCTTATAATTAGTTTTTCATTTTGAGCGAAGCCTGGCCTGGGACTTGTGTCTGTGTGTAATTGTTTGTATATGGTGCCCCCCCCCCCCCGCACTTACTATTATACACAATAAGTTATCATGAGTAAATAATCAGATGTTTGATTTTATAGTATTCACAATAATCTTGAACAACCAGTTTGTTGGGAGAGAGGGAGAGAGAAATAGGGTTTAACGTCCACTCGACACAAACTAGGTCATTTCGGGACTAACATATGGTTTAATTTTATTTCAATAATTCGCTTGCGCGTAGGGGTCTTTAGCAGTGGGGGGAAACCGGAGGGCCCGGAGAAAACCCACGAGGTTGGACAGGCGACCCTACTCCTTGCCACATACAACCGGGGATTCGAAACCACGCCAGTTGACTCAATGACAGGCCGTATGATACAGCACGCACGTGCTAACCCCCCCCCCCCCCCCAGTTTGTTGGATATTCGGCGCTTTATAAATAGACTATTATTATTATTATTATTATTATTAATATCATTAATGTACAATAACAACAGTTTAAAGCCTGCTGGGACTCGAAACGGTCCCATTATATTATTACACATCTCGGGCGCTAGCAACATTCAGCTATTGTGATGTTTATGATCTATGGCTTGATATTATTATTACCATCTTATATCTTTATTTTAATAATTTGATTGTGGGCATGGATCTTTAGCAGTGTAAAGAAACCGACGAAAGATCCGGAGTAAACCATCTTAAGTGGGCAATCGATCGTACTTCTGTGATCAAAACCACGCCCTTAACTCAATGACAGACTTTATGATCTAAAGGGCCCGCATTAGACCACTCAGTCACCAAAAACCTCCATTTCGCAGAAAAGGGAATCCAAAAATGTGAAAAGATAGACGAGTTCAAGCTATTACACCATTAATTACAAAGAATCAGCGTGTGACGTATACAAGGTAATATTATGTTCCTTTTCTTTTTTGAATACCGGATATCACATGTAGATCAGACTAACGAATATTGTCGTTTTTATTCTAATGAAAACTTACCTCATGTGCAAGATGTGTGGGAGGTTGGTCTTCATTTATTTTATCAAAGTGGATAAATTCAAAGAAGTTGCTGTTAACAACAAAAACATATTCAAAGTCGTCTGATGTGCGAAATTCCGTGGCTTGAATACCATATACTGCTTCAGTTGCCATATGTATATTAGACACAATGGGTATATTACCAGCATATTCGTTTTTGATGATATTCGACTAGAATGTAAAATACACCTAATTGTAATTAAAATTTAATTAAAATCAGATCTTTATTTCGTCCCAGTTTTGTTTGGTCAATATGAAGATCTAACTACGTCCTTATAATTATCCGTTATAGGCCAATTGAAATCTAATTTTAAAGAATATGCATAGTTACACATTCTTTTCTGGGTGAAAGCGCCTGTTCAGTGACTTGATAGGTGAGGTTGCGCCTATTGAACACAGACTTCTTATGGTCAGAATTTTTCCCGTCCCGGGGCCACGGTGGCTAGGTGGGTTAGACGCTGGCTCGCTAGCCTGGAGGTCGGGTGTTCGATCCCAGCATTGGCCGAGAAAGTTCATCGGGATTTTCCGATGCGGTTTCCCCTTGTCAGTGATGCAGAACGGAGGGCCTGGTAAGGACAGCTGTCTAGTCCTTCGGATGAGACGAAAAACCGAGGCCCCGTGTATACATTGGAATGCACGTAAAAGATCCCTTGGCAGTTGGAATTCGATATAAGAGTAGGCGATAGTGCCGCTGCCCGGCCAAAATTTCCCTCATAGCACACTGTATGGCGTATGCCCGTCTTCATTAGCCCAGTACAGGAGCAGAACAGTAGGACGTTAAACCCCATTTCATTTCCCGTCCCCCCCCCAACACCTTTATCCCAGAGCTCCAGATTCCTTAAACAAGCGGTTGTCATGCAAGCTACGCCCATATTTTTCTATATGTTGACGGAGAACTGAAAAAAGTTTGGTTAAAATCTGTGGTTACTATCACATTCACAAAGTGTAAGGGGATATAACCCTGGAACAAAAGGCGTGTTGCTTCAAACCAATTTGAAAAAATAATCTGTTAGAAAAAATAGCCCTATCGCGTTCACAAGGTTTTTGGAAAAGGGGGCACAACTCAGGATCGGAAGGTCCGATGCGCACACAAAATCAAACTCACCCGAAATCTTTTGATTCGTAATGTAACTTCATCTGAAGCGGACATTTTGCGTAAAACGAGGGGGCATAACTCCAGCACGGAAGGTCTGATGCGCACCAAAATCAACGACATAATATGTCCACATGAAAATGTGAGCTAATGACCTAATAATATTCATAAGTATGTGTTTTTGTGTAATGACCTAATAATATGATTGACCAAAAATAAGGGTTATCATTTTCATTAAATTATTCATTAAATTCTATCTTGTTATTCAGGGCGTGAATGTATAATATACAACTCACTTGTGTAGCATAAGATGCACTGGATAGAGTGGTGATCTTGGTACAGTTTGGCCAAACACGAGGAATCATATCTCTAACGCTATCAATAAAAATAGACCGTAATTCATCAGCCCTGACGACATCGGGCGTTAAAAGTTCTTCCAGTTCAATACGAACCTCTTCCGGCATTTCAATATCTTTGTCGATAGTACCACTTTCAATGTCGTGACACAATTTCTTCCAGTTGTTTTCAACCATCTTGAAGAAGGCTAGGGCTATTGGGGCTATTTGTAGAAATATTGCCCTTGGGCTTGGGTCTTTTAATGCGAAAATGGCATGGACGTATAACATCGACTGCTCACTAGGAATATTATAGGCTGCCTCGGGAGATGTGGAATGGGGCATTCTTCTAAATAGGGAGGAGAGAGGCCCCCTAAGTGTCCCAAAAGTATTTCGTTTAATGCGCGGCTTTATAAATATTTGCGGCCAAGTCTGAAGCTGCTTTAATTCCTGAGAGAATGGGATATACAAGCATGTAAGAAAAGACACCAAGTAGCAACGCAATAGATATTTCCTGTTCCTCGGGAATTCTTTAGATGCTCCTGATGTTGTACCCGAAGTAGTACAGATAAAATCAGTTTTCCCAGGAATTATCACATCTGCCTGTCCCGCAATACAAGCTTGGAAATATTTCTCATAATGTTTATAGGTTGTCAATGGATGGCCTTTTCGAAATTTCGCGACGGAATCTAACTGGGTGAATGTAAAATCTCTACCATACTGCGTTTTAGCCCGTCTTGATAAGATATACTTGAGAAGTTGTTCTTGTGTTGTCTTGCAATTCGTAGAGCTTTTCTGAAAATAGTAGGCACCAATCCATCCCAAGAGTTGAATTATAGACGTGTTAACATACTGATGAATCAGTGACAAGAAGGTGTGGTTATCAGACGGACATCTTAAAATAATATGGTGACACACCAGGGATATGACCCAACAGGATATGTGCAGTTTTATGTCTAAAAAGAGATAAAGGTGAATCAGATTGTACCACTTTAATTTAACATAGAATGGAAAAGAAGAATGGGGATTATCGATAACTGCGATTTATTTTACTAATATTGAACCTTTGTGACGTTTTTAGCCCCAACATGACCAACTGAAGTTTTCGACCGATGTCGCGTTTAGACCCAGGATCCAGTTTGTTTTTCCTAGAGCAATGGGACAAGTACTCGTTTGGTTTGGTACCCTTTTTTATAGTTATGTCAAATCGACAGACCATACCAGATACCAAGTCAAACTGCATCACATCGTAAACCAGTAAACTAGCCTCTTAATATTAAAGAGACTATCCCGATTTGAACAGAGTCTCAAATATAAAAGTCCGAATAAGTATGAAAGTTAATCTCCAAAATATAGAGGAAGGGTGTATTTACCTTGTCTCAAAATTTCAGCTCAAAATATTAAGTCGTTTGGACGTGAAAAGCAAAACTGCTTATCGGGTCATTTTTTTCCTTGAGTGATCTGATAATCGATTCCCATTCTTTGAGATGTCTATACAGTGAATGACCGTACTTGATAACGAAAGGTAAATTTCACCTACACATTATTTTTATTAAAAAAAGAGTCTGGTTTTATCCAGACACCGCATAATACAGCTTGGGACACCGGTCTCCATTTCCAGATGAAGACTGATGGGTTTAAGTTGTTTGAAAACGTATCACAAATATTGAGTTAATTATCGGGATTGGCACTTTAAGATCAAAATTTGCCAACCGATTTTTTATTACCAATTACATGAAAGTTACTATCAGAGGCGAGCTTGGCGGGTAGGCAGTGTTCCGCCTACCCTGCTCCCATAAATGCAAAAACAAAAGAAACTGGAAATGGTTGATAACGCTTGAATCAAATGATTTCATACCAGAGTATAGGGATGCGTGTGGCTATGTGACTTCCCTTCCGAAAATATGTCCTATCTTCTGAAAAAATGCCCTCGAATTTCAACAGAGTTACCTCAAATACTCAAGGAAATGTCTCAATGACAACATTCTGTCCTCTTTTTCTGCTGCCCTTCCCTTGTTTCAACCAAATCCAGAGATACCAACAGATTCCAGATTCGATTTCACAGACAGATTGATATTTCCATACTATTCAGAATCAATTAATTTGTCTTAGTTTTATTTATTTATCTAAATTTATCTAAAAATCGGAAATTGCAACGCGTGCGACTGGAACATTTTAGCGGTTAGCATATACTCAAGGCCAATACGACAAAAAACCTACTGACATTGAATCTGTCATCAGTAACTTTCTTGACCTGGCCTAACGTGAGTGTCTAAATCTTGATCGTCTTCTCGTTCTTGGAGTTGTGTAAGTTTACTTACAATTCTACCCTTCCCTAATAAGCAAACATAATCGGATGGAACCTTTGTTAGGAATATCAGTCCCTTTTGATGCTTATTTTCTTTACTCACTGGTCGTTTAGTACTTGCAGCTAACTATGTTCATGTTCAGATCTTCGGAACCTAATCATAATGTATGGTATAGTATGCCATGGCACAGATATACGTCAAATCGATTCTAGCATGTGCCACAAAACCAAAAATTGCCCCCCCCCCTCCACACACCTTTTAAAGTGCCCTAAGTTTGGTTTGTAGACCTTTCCTCCGAGGTCCAAGCACGCCTCTGGTTTCTATAACACAACTGTCATAAATATAATACAATTACTGCTTACTACTAACCGACGTTTCGACTAGGCTTTTCTAGTCATTATCAAGCAATGATAAAATGTGAAAATATATACATGTACACAACAATACTTAGTTAATGCTGACCAACCAGAGATACCTCTTCTTATTACATGCACTTAAAGCTACGTTCCCAGAAAAGTATTTATCGGGTGGATATTTCCAATAAAAAGTATGTCAATTTTGGTATATATGGAAAGTAGAAATATCCAATCTTACTAGAAAAATACTGAAAAAACACTCATGGAGCGCATATGACAAAAATGTAAGGGTTTCCCTAATCGACAGCCTGACGATTAGGAGTGTCTGCACGCGTGACGTCGAAGGTTGCACGCGGGGATTGAGTGCTTGATGTACATTTTGTTAAACTTTATGAAGAATTAGACGTACAACATTTTCTGAGATAAAAATCATGGAAAAAGACGCGGGCAGTGGATAATCCAAAACTTTAATTAGGCTTCGATATTTGTAATAAATAGTCAGCGTTAAAGACATCGTCGTCTTGTGTATGCAATGAATTCTCCCCCGACTTCGCTTGCGTTGCTAGGTACCGACAGAGGTAAGTCACGTGACACAAACATGACCTCTTTTGATCGATTTTTTTTATAGCCAGGGTATTCCCTGAAAATTGGAATGTTTTGAGAAGGATTTGAAGCAAAATTATGATAAATTAATTAGTTTGAATTTGTTTTTAGTCCAAATATATCATCAAATCGCCCAGTTTGTACCCGGGAATGTATCTTTAAAATGAATCTAATTTAATTAAGGATTAAAGTTTAATGCTAATAACAACATTCAATAGGGCCACTTTACCTGAAAATTAACGCAAATTGATTAATTGATTAATGGGTAACTTGTCGTTGAGTATATACAATGATGACAAACGTTGAAAGAAGATGAAATTTGATAAAATGTTTTCAACGACCACTTTACCTGAAAAAAACATAAATGATTAATGGATAGCCTATTGTGGAGTATTTACAATGATTTGATCAGATTTTAATAATCACTGTCGGATATTTAATAATAAGCAAGACTGGTCTGAGAGAATTAGTAATTCTAAAAGCCTTGGAGTTTATAAGAATTATAAACTGAATCTGTGTCGAGAAAAATATTTGTCTGTTCAAATCCCAAAGCAAGCAAAGAGAAATATCACAAAATTAAGGATAAATCTCTTCTTCACAAATTTATATAAGAGAAAAGTATCCAAACATCCGAAGTGAATGCTTTGTACACAATTGAAGATTTGTATCATATATTCATTGTGTTTAAGACCTATCATAAACCACGAATTCAATATTTATTTAAAGGACAATATTGGTGTCAGTCATTATAAAATATGTGATAGAGCTGTTCAATACATCCCAAATATAATTTTAACACAGAGATGGTTGCTACGGGAGATGTGTAACAAGCACGTGAAGAAACGGGAAGTGACGTCAAACATGACAAACACGGGTTGTCCTTCTACACGTATATAACTGACCGAAGTAACGAGCGATAACAGACAAACGATCGAATTTCATTTCACTGATAATTCAGTTGAAGATGAAAAGTTGTTATATGAGACGATGAGAGGATATCTGACAATTCAAAAAAAAAAAGAGTTGGCTGTCAGTAGATAAAAGATAACGAACAAATTACCATGTTTTTATTAAGAACAGAATGAATAAAAACGGGGGAATGCACGGGATTTTTCTATTTTTCTCGTGTCCCTTATCTAGTGACAGCCAATTCTATTTTTGAATTGTGAGATACCCTCTCACCGTCCCATATAATAACTTTTCAACTTCAACGGAATTATAAGTGAAATGAAATTCGATCGTTTGTCTGTTATCGCTCGTTACTTCAGTCAGTTATATAGAAGGACAACTCATGTTTGCCATCACTTCCCGTTCCTTCACGTGCTTATTACACGTCTCCCGTAGCAATGATCTCTGTGTTAAAATTGTATTTGGAGTGTATTTAACCAGTTCTATCACATATGTGATAATGGCTGACACCAATATTGTCCTTTAAGTGACAACATTAGCGAAAAGAATAGATTTCATAATTTATTATTAACATGCGATGAAAAACTTTTGTTACAATTATCTACTTATATAGATAAGATATGGGTATTAAGAACGAATTATTAAAAACCCAGTCCTAAATCCTATTTATTGACCATCTCACTAGAAAGATCGTTATACACCAAGGCTGTTGAAAAGTAAGGTACCTCCATACATCACGTATCATTTATTGTTATTTTTATATATGCATATGTATTATTACCAATCCATACCATACCACTGTCTTATCTGACCACTTTACTGTATTATGATTTGGATCTATGGGTCTTTGACCTAAATCCTTAATAGACAATAAACATAACACCCTAAACAGATGAAATTTGACTGGTATTATAACGATAAATATATACATGTTGATGTAAGAGATTCCATTAATACACGAAAAACCCTTAGAACAATGACTGCACAAATCATCAATGGTTCCCCGAGGGCCGACTATTTAAATTACTGAGTAGTATTTGCACTGGATGCTATAGTGATTTAGAAAGACAGGATTTGAACTATTAAGTGCATTAAATTTCAAGAAAAATTGTT